CGTCGGGCGACGGCCGGCAGGGGGCTGTGCTGCAGCTGGTGGCGACCGACGGAGATTCAGGGACGGACCGGCCCTCGGCTGCAGGGATGCTCATGGTGACCGAAGGAGGTGCAGGGTCGCCGGCAGGATGGGAGTATTTCGATGAGAAGGCGTACATTCAAGGGTCAGTACCATTTTGTTTTCTTAAAAAATTTAGACGTATAATTTCAGTTTTTCAATCGCATGCTATCTGAAACTTTATTGCTTTTAAAATGCGTTTTTCAATGGATTGTTAATCTAAAAATGGTTGTATCACTTCAAGGTAACTGTCTATACACTAACTAGAAAGTTGTACTTAGACCGTAATGTCTCAAGCTCAGCATTTATCCTCTATCTGAGGTATAACGTCTATCGAAATAACATAACACAAAGTTCCATCTATTACCTGTCTCAGTTCGCATGCTGCTGTGACCGTTATATGCCGTCGATTCTGGCGGTATAATACATTGCGGAAGGACGAAAGCGATATTACTGGTTTGTTTAATGGCGAGTAGGCCGTATCTTCTATACTGCCAGAATCGACGACATCTAGCGGTCACATTGGTGACCCAGCTGTCAAATAAGGATTGAGATACCGTTCTAAAGTCGTCGATTCTGGTACTTTGTGCTGCCTTATTTCGGCTGACATGCAAGTTTCAGTTATTGAATTGCAAGTGAACCTCCAATTGAAAAACGGCACACTTTTGACAATGACAGAAGTTAGCTGGAAACTGTTCTTCGTAAAGTTTGGGTGACATGGTGTTGCCTAAACATGCGGCAGAACTCATGAAGTGTATTATTAGACTAGTTTTTGTGTTAAGCTAATTTCATCTTGTCTAGTGGACAACTTTTTCTATCTATTATTCTAAAATTATCATGTCGCTTGACAGTTTTAAAAAAATTATTCCGTTTCACTGATACAGAACGAACAAAATATTTCATTTTGCACTAGCGAAATATACAAGACTGTTCAAAATGTTGTCCTCATAGACTAACAAAGTACATCTGGGTAATTTTTATTGAGGTAATCCAGCAATTGCTCGATCTCAGATTTTTTACATTTTTCCATTCAAATTTGTTAAAAAATCACGCTTAATTGAAAATTGTGTTTGATACATTGTATCTCTATTGAAATCTAGAATACATTAGCTTACTTGAAAATTTCTCATCGGAACCTTCATATACCTCTAGTTGTGATTTTTTCTTATAATTTTTATTTTTATGTGAGAAAGTAAGTTGTTCAGCAGATAAGTTCACATAAATTTTCCTTTTCATTTTTACGCGTTTTGTTACTCATAAAGATTTCACGATCATAGTAATAAAATCCATGCAGTTACTATCATACAATTTCAGAATGAGTGCTCCATAAAAATGTGATATTGTTTCTATGTCGATAGATAAGTGACTAATTGACTATTTCATTTATTTTCAACATGTCTACACTCCCCAAGATAAGCGAAAATCAAAAATGTAAACTAAATTTCGTCGATTCGAAGATATTTGCAAAACATCAGGTTTCAGAAATTTTGTTTACCAGTAAAATTGACAGAAGATTGGTTTGAGCATTACAGATCACAACATTGAATAATGAGCATCATACATCAACTAATTACTCGTAAATATATTAAAAAAAATCCAAAAAGTAATTCACCTGTTTGTTACCGTAATGTTTTCTTCTGATATACTATTAATAATAAAAATAAATTATTATTATTACTTAACACAAATTTCATGCGCGGGAACGCTACGATTAATTTTGTCAATTTGGATAATAGCTTTCTTTGATTTCATCTACTCCACAAATATTAAAACATAACTCATAGCATTTTTCTAATCCATTTTAAAATACATTTTGGCTTTGTTCCTAATTTTTATGTAATAAAAATTAATATAACTAGTTAGTATGCCATAAATATTAATTAAGATAGTAATTTAGCTTTCGCTGTGGTCGATTCTCGTAAAAAATGACTCTTTGTGCTGCCTTATTTCAATAAATATTCATATCACTAGTTTTTGTTAACGTTTTTTTAAATAAATTATCGCAACTTTTATTTCGGATTAAACAAAACTGACAGTATTTCTGGAGCAGAAAGCACAGCCACAAATTGCACGGAAAGATTCTATAGTTTCTATATAAGCATGGGTCGTAAAATGTCTCATTAGGAGTATATTACTATTCTTACAGAGCGTTGAACTTTTAGAAATCGAGAAAAATATATATCCGAATTTGACAAAGGTGTTGACTTCAAATTGTGAGTATTATGTAGTATACACACCGTTATCATGTATACAAAGTGTTTCGTGGTTCCGAGTTCAGACTGTAGTACCAGTGTCGTACAAACTGCGAATTTTTGACCCCTACAGAGAAAAATATTTTATACGCCATTGCTTTTTTAAAATGTAATGCATTTTTTGTGATTTTCAACTGATGTATTCAATTTACACTTGTCTGGATACAGTTTTTGCTCTAGAAGTCACTACTAATCGGTCTGTATATGTATTGAGCTATACAGGGTGAATTTTTAGTTATTACGCATGGTATCTAGAAAAGTTAATCACAAAAAATGTAGCCAACAGTCTGCTCGTTACTTGAAACTATTTTTATTTCTACATACACTTTTTCAAATGGAAATAACTACATTTTATTGCAGATTCGGATAGGCCCTTCCAATCAAACCAATTTTCAAATCGTTGAGATATTTGAAAATATTTCGAAAAAAAACTCTCAACCTTGACAACTCTCACCTTCGCAACAGTTATGGCTAGAGCATCGAATTTTCCATCAAAAAAATGTTTACTTGGTTTTACAACTTTTTGATTAGTTTATACAGGGTGGTCAAGAACGTAAAACGAACGATTACTCAACCTTTGTCAAATGGAATACTATATACTTTTTTACGGGCTTTTTTAGGATATATGATTTACGAGGATTTGTATGATTATTTCTTTGAGTTACTAAACCACTGGGACACCTTGAATTTTCCGCTTTATTGCATAAGGTTGTGTAGATTTAATACACAAATTATAACCATATGCTGTTACTAACTGAATGCTATTTTTATTTTGAGAGGTATTGTACTATTTTTCATTTATCTTGATATACAATTTACAAAAAGGCTAACTGTAACTCAAAAACCATTCGTACAAATTCCCATAAACCTTACACCAAAAAGGGGAATCAAAGTGTGAAAATATACAGGGTCTTCCATTTAAAAATTTTGAGAAATCGTTCATCTTGCGTTCTTCACCACCCTGTTTAGTCTATCGAAAAACTGCTATGACAGGAAGAAAATTTGGGGTTACGGAATTCTTTTGACGAAAAAATCAGTAGTTTAGCTGTAACTGTTGCGGAGGTGCAAGTTGTAATTTTTTTTTCATACGAGGGATGTCTTTTAAGTTTTGCATATGGAAATAAAACAACACGGCATGTAGTTTTAAATGACTTTATTGTTTTTCGAAGTATTCTCCACGAAGGTTAATACACATCTGCATGCGCTCGAACCTATTTTCGAAGCACTTATTCCACTCGTTTGCTGGCAGATCCAAAACGGCATTTTTGAATGCGTTAACTGCTTCGTCTGGTAACTGGAACTTTTGACCACGCAGTCTGTTTTCAATTTTCGGGAAAGTAAAGAAATCGTTAGGACTTAGATCGGGGATATATGGAAGTTGGTCCAATAATTCCACGTTCTCTTCCGTTAAATACTGCCTTTTTTTTTGGCTGTGTGCGAGCTTGCATTGTCTTGGTGGAGGATGATTCTTCTTTCGGGGTTGATTTTTCGAAGCTCGGTGATGACTTTTGGCAAACAAATGGTGGTATACCAATCCGCAGTAACTGTTCTTTGCTCATTAAGAGGAATTGTTGCAATATGACCCGCTCTTGACACAAATGTCGCGACCATCTTTTTCGAAACACTTCGAGAACGGATGACTTTTGTCGGCTTTTCTTCACCTTGGAACACCCAAACAGCCGACTGTCGTTTATTTTCTGGTTCATAACAGTAAATCCACGATTCATCACCACTAACAATGATGTACACATTTTTTGAGTTTCCGGAATTGAAACGGTCAAGCGTTTTTTGACACCAATTAACCCTGGCTGCTTTCTGCTCTTCAGTCAACAGGTGGGGTATCCAACGAGAAACTAATTTTCTTACTCCTAATTCTTCATGTACAATTTTTGAATTGACGTCTTTGAGATCTTCAAAGACGCCTCAAACTTGCGATATGTCACATATCTATCTTCAATGATGAGTTTGCGCACAGCATCGACGTTTTCCGGGTGACTGCCGTTTTTGGTGCAAACACCCTGGGATCGTCGCTAAGACTCAGCCGTCCACGTTTGAATTCTCCATACCAACGGGAAATTGTCGACTGATGTGGCGCTTCGTTGCCGAAAACAGACAGTAACTCAACAAGGCATTCTTGTTGCGATAATTGTCTCTGAAAGTTGTAATAAATTATGGCGCCAAAATGTTCTCGGTTGAGTTCCGTTTTTCTAATGACTTGGTCACACTTACTGTAGTGAGAACACTGCACGTATTGTTGTAAAACTTTGAATTTAAGTTTACTAAACAGTGAGGTTAAGATTCAGTACTGACGTTCGATCCGCGCGGCCTACTATGTTTCTATGTGCAAAACTTAAAAGACATCCCTCGTAGATTGATAAATATTTCAACAGTTTATCAATAAAACTCTATATTATGTTACACCAAATTGCTTCGTTTGAATGCGCCTATCCGAATCTGCATTAAAATGTAGGTCAGTTTAAAAAAGTGTGTTTGGGCCACCCCGTAGAAATGTAGAAATCAAATTTTCCAAGTAAGTTGGTTTTTGTAACCGTGCGTATTAACGGAGTTATGGACCGAGCCCAATCTAAAAACTCACCCTGTAGATACCCAATAATACAATAAACAAATGTTTGCTAGGTCAGATTGCCCAACAATTTCTGCTAATATATTTTTATTTTTTTTCCATTCCAGAGGGAGACTTCATGCAGGCGAAGATCCTTACATCCGAAACCGCTTTAACCAAATGGCCTCGGATCATCTTCCTAGCAACAGGGAGATTCCGGACACCAGGAACTCCATGTGTCGCTCCAAAGGTTACAAAAAGGACTTACCATCAACATCAGTCATAATCACATTCCACAACGAAGCCAGAAGCACGCTGCTCAGAACGGTTGTCAGCGTCCTGAACAGATCCCCTGAGCATCTGATCAAAGAAATCATCCTAGTTGATGATTTTAGCGATAACCCAGATGATGGTTTGGAGCTGGCTAAGATCCATAAAGTTCGGGTTCTCAGGAACGATAAACGGGAAGGTTTGATGAGATCGAGGGTCAAAGGAGCAGATGCAGCGGTAGCTTCTGTGCTTACCTTCCTGGACTCTCATTGCGAGTGCAATGAGAAGTGGTTGGAACCACTTCTGGAAAGAGTAGCTGAAAATTCTAGTAGGATAGTTTGTCCAATTATCGACGTTATAAACATGGATACCTTCCAGTATATTGGAGCATCAGCAGACTTGAGAGGTGCCTTTGACTGGAATCTTATCTTCAAATGGGAGTACATAGATTACAAAGAAAGGCAAAGGAGAGAGAAAGATCCCACAGAAGTTATCCTTACTCCAATCATCGCTGGAGGTCTATTTGTGATAGATAAACCGTATTTTGCAAAGCTGGGCAAGTATGACATGATGATGGACATTTGGGGTGCTGAGAACCTGGAACTCAGCTTCAGAACTTGGCAGTGTGGCGGGTCGCTAGAAATAGTTCCTTGCAGCAGAGTAGGTCATGTCTTCAGAAAGAAACACCCGTACACTTTTCCTGGAGGTTCTGGGAACGTCTTTGCTAGAAACACTCGGCGAGCTGCCGAAGTGTGGTTAGATGAATATAAAGAACTCTACTACCAAGCAGTACCTTTGGCCAAAACAGTACCGTTTGGAGACATATCAGAAAGATTGGAGTTGAGAAAAAAGTTGCAGTGCAAACCATTCAAGTGGTACCTTCAGCATGTTTATCCTGAGCTCCAGGTGCCAAACAAAATCTTCACACCGGGTAGACCGACGTCTATAAGGCAAGGCCATATGTGCATGGATACCATGGGGAACCTTCTGGACTCCATTGTGGCCATGTTCCAATGTCACAACAACGGGGGAAACCAACAGTGGACTTACACGGATAGCGGCTACATAAGGCATCACGACATCTGCTTGGAGGTTAGGGATGTGTACAAAGGAAGTGAGGTGCTCATGAAAATTTGTGATGGAAATGATAATCAGAAGTGGAAACTGATTCAGCCTGGTGGAATGATAAGGCATGCTAGGTACCCTCTGTGTTTGGACTCTAGGTATGCCAGGTTCAAAGGAATTCTAGCTGAAAGGTGTAACAGTGCTCTTGAGTCACAAAGATGGCAAATTTTATAGGGAATTATACCAGGACTAGGATCAATGGGAACCTGGAACCAAACAGTACCTTTGGCCATTTGGTGATGGAGGAATAAAAGGACTCGTCCTACTAGGCAGTCTCTTCGTGATGCGGGAATACAAAGAGTTGAACTACCAAACAGCCCGTTTGGCCAAAAGAATGCCGTTTGGCGAAGGAAATTGCAAGAGGTTGTAGTACCAAACAGTCCATTCTGCCAAACAGTACCGTTTTGATACGTACGTACGAAGAATGTGTCCAGTGGTGTGAGGAAACTGAGGGGTATTCATTTCAAAAAGGCCAGTATTAGAACCGTGGTTAACAATATAAGTTTTTTGTTAGCAATTAAAATGAGTAGGTGCAGCCATTGCTCATTCTTAATGTTGAAATCTATGATTTTTAGAGTATGACAGTGGCAGTGAGATAATTGTATGGAGTACGAAAAATATATGTGTATAGTTTCACGTATATTTGAGTTGCGTGGATGCTGAAACTACGTGCAATGCAAAATGGCACTGATAAGAATTTAAAATAAAATTTTCAAATATTATGATGCCAGACAATAAACTCTATAACTCTTCGAAACTGTCCGTATATCTTTCATGCAAATCTATGCTTGCACTGTACGGATATCACCAAAATATTTCTCAAACATCTCTTCATCTAATAAACGTTTGATAGAAAAATCATAACCTTTGCTCAATTTCTTTCTTGTTACATTGGAACATTCTGTAGAATTCCTCGATATACGACTAACGACAATAATCTTATCTTCAAAAGGAATATCTAAGTATGTTAATTATAATCAAAACATTATTAATTGACTTCCTTATAAATAACCTACTTGTTGATTCCGTACCAAATACGTACATTTATGTTGACGGATCGTTTTGATTCAGACATTAGTGCCTTTTACAAATATGAAATAACATCAGAATTGATGAAGATCAGACACAGAAGTTTAGCAGACAGAATCAACCGTACACTTTTTTTGTTTATACTCCAACTACCACGAAGGCCTAAGGCCTAAACACCCATTGGGTACCGTGGGGCTATAGGGGGATACAGGGGAAAAGGGGAACGCCACACGGATTCTGGCGAGGGAAAACGTGTGCATGCAACATGCACACATTCTGGCTCCGCCAAGGAGATCCGCCGGGTGGTACCTCCGCGTTCGACAGTCAGAGACCGTCTACCACCTACGGACAATCACAACGTCCATAGCCAAAAGAAAAGTTTCTCCTGGGACGGGATTCGAACCCGCACAGCGCACGGCGACTAATCAGGAGACCGAAGAGTCTACTACTGCGGCCACCGCTTCTGCCTGCTTGAATTAGATAAACCAGAGAATACGAAATGGATCCAAAATTAACTGCTGCAACTCTAAAATCATATATTAGGCATGCGAAAGGGCCATTCAAAAAAATAGTAAACTCTAATCTTTGATGGCGTCATTTCTGCGTATGAAGATAATCATACGTTATTAGTATGTGTAGCTAACGTTGAATGTATTTCTTTTACGCACTTGGGTGGTGTTGTAACACCTATATATAAAATTGTCGGTTATATAAGAAAGGTAGAAAGCAAGTTCACTGCCACAAATATGTAGTTTTAACTCAATTAATATGAAGAATAATAGCGTCTAAATATGACAGCTTGCAACAGAATAAGGAATTGCGTTTTGAACTTTTGTAAATAATTAGTCAGTATTATTATATATCTTCATTGTATATACGTTTTACAGTTGCAGGTCCATGTAGCAAAATATCACAAACATTAATTTATTTGTACACGTGAATGTCCGATAAGAATATAATAGTCTCACGATCGCTTATCAACTTATTATTTGTTATTCATCACAGCTTGTACATGTACGTGTAGTATTTCCGAAACAATGTTATATAATATTTTATTTAATTGCAAAATTTATTTCACATTTGACAAATAAATTCAATACATTATTGTTGAAATCAAAATAATTTCACAAGTGAGCTGAAGCAAACATTCGTTTTCAGGGAAGCGTTTTCGAAACCTCGATTTGCACTGACTTTAAATCACCTATCTGACATGTCATGCATCACAATTTTGCAGGTTTTTGTCTGGAACAGGGGTGGATCTAGTATGCACTAGGCTTGGGAAACATGGGGCTCTTCAACGCGGTTCCAGAGTAGACACACAAACACACACATATGATATTTTGCGTTTCTCGCACAATAACTCACCAGCTGAATAGTCTGGCTTGAAGCCACACCATAGGCACTGATTTTTACTTAACTTAATCTATATAAAATGGACTCAAATGAGGCGGACAGTCCATATGACCATCAATGAATGAATGTTGCTTCCGAGGGCGGGATTCGAACCCGCGAGCCGAGTTTCAATAGTCGGGATCATCTCTCCTGCCATCTGCCAAAAAGCGCTTCTCTTTCGTCGCTTGTAGCATCGACGCCCTTTTTATGAAGTGCAGATCTCTCCGCAGCCAGCAAATCAATTGGTGGGATACCAGCTACCACCAGCAGTACTATTCGCTGGTTTCTCAACATTCGATATCTATATTTCTTTTTCATTAAGGCCTTGTTATAATGGGTGGGCCATTTAAAAGTTTCGATTTAAAAATAAAATAAAACAAAAACGGTTTGAGATATTGCCAAATTTATTTTTTTGTTTTGAAGTACAATTGTTCCGCTCAGAAATGAAATATTACTTCATTCAAATGGCTGCCGCGGCTGGCCTCACAGTAGCCCATTCGATCGGACCAATTTTCGAGCACTTTTTCGAGTGTTTGGGGCCGTATCTCGTCAATGGCATCACGAATGTTGGCCTTCAAATGGTCAATTGTCTCTGGATGGTCGACATAACACTTGTCTTTAACAGCGCCCCACAGGAAATAGTCCAATGGTGTCAAATCGCAGCTTCTTGGCGGCCAATTGACATCACCATTTCGACTGATTAAACGGCCATCGAAGGTTTCGCGCAATAAGTTGATTGTGGCATGCGATGTGTGACAAGTTGCACCATCCTGCTGAAACCAAACATTCTCCACATCAATACCATCAAGAGCAGGAACAAAAAAATCAGTTATCATGGTGCGATAGGTGTTTCCATTGACAGAAACGGTTGCGCCGTCCCCGTCTTCAAAGAAATATGGGCCAATGATGCCTCCGCTCCACAATCCACACCAAACAGTCACTCGCAAGGGATGCATTGGCTTCTCTAAGACCTCGTGTGGGTTTTCCGAGCCCCAGATACGGCAATTTTGCTTATTGACGTAGCCACCAATATGAAAATGAGCTTCGTCTGAAAAGATTATTTTTTTCGCAAAATCGACATCATTGATTAGTTGCTCGTTGGCCCATGTAGCGAAGGCAGAACGAAGTGGATGGTCACGCGGCTTCAACTCTTGAACCAATTGAACTTTGTAAGGCGTCATACCGAGATCTTTCCGCAAAATTCGTCGTAAACTGGTGCGGGAAATGTTCAATTCTTGGGAACGATGACGTGTTGACGTTGATGGATTTTCACGCACACTCGCAGCCACAGCATCGATACCTTCGGGTGTACGCACTGTACGAGCACGCTGACGTGTTGGAGCATCAACAATGAAACCAGTTTCACGCACTTTATTAATAAACTTGCGTATACCGGGCGCTGTTGGTGCTTCGTTGCGACCGAATTTTGAACGGCATTTTCGTGCAATTTCTGCCCAATTGTCTTTGTTTTGGAAATAAATTTCCAATATTACCCAACGTTGCTCAAGCGTAAATCGATTCATTTCGTTCAGCGGAGATAATATACTGAATTTTATGACAAATCAGATTGACATAAGTATTGTCAGCGTCAAATTAACACGTGGTTCAAATCGAAACCGATAGATGGCCCACCCTATGGCCTATAGGAGCTTCGAACATCGTAATTGAGTGTGCCACACCTGCCAAAATCCTGCGCCTCTCAGTACTGGGACCTCCGACTGATGGCATTAGCAGCCGAAGTATTAGTAGCTTGACACACTGGGCTATCCAGCTCCCCAGGTTCCAGGGTAGAGAATACTTGTCTTTTGAGAATCATAATGCTTCTGATTCCCATCCGCCTCAACTGGAATCCTATCAATACGAGAATCCATTGTGGGGGAGCGTTGGCCTTCTATGGCTACTGTAAGGTAAACATCTTCGTCAATAGTTTGAGATGGCTGATAATCCAGCCCTAAGAAACGCCTGTGATGGACGTGCAAGGAATTCTATGGACGTTAAGACCCATATTTACAGTCAATCCTTAAGGGTTGAATGAAAATTGAGAATCATTAACCCTTCGATTTTAAATCAATAATAACGCACCTTTGAGGAGATTTAATCATCATCATAGGTTTTTACATTTTCATTAACCATGGCATATAAGGATCCTATGCATATGTGGGAGAAATAGCTCAGGTTAAATTTGGAAAAAGCTGCGTCCTTTGGGGCGTATTTACATGCCGTTGACAAAGTTGTACGAATTTCAAGACTTACTGAGGTATTTGGGAAAAACTAAAATTTGGCTAAATCGTTTTTTATTTTTTATGACTTTATTTTAAGAAATATCAAAAAACTAATGAAACTTTTTCATTGGCACTTTATAGACGCTGCACGATGGTGTTTATAAATTTTGTGCACGACGTTTCGTTTTTTTTTTGAGAAACCATCATCAACTTTATTTTTATATATGGCCCGATTAAAAGTATACATTCATTATTACTAGGTGTCTGTCACTTAGCTCCGCTATCTCACACAATGTAAAATTAATTCTAGAATCAAGACTGTCTCTAAGTTGTGGTCATTCGTTATGAGTAGCCTTGAAATATTAAATATATTCTTGCGATGTGAAATATTTTGTTCTATTCAAGGAGACCAGCATTTTGATTAGTTGTGTGGTTTAACTATATAGTGGGTCTTCATTTAGATAATCATGACCTTTTTCGTTCAATTATAGAATCGTTATTAATAAATTGATGAAAACTACTTGGAATTATAACGGTAATCTTTTACGTAACAAATCTGACAACTGACATTTTAACCTATTTGAAAGGTGCTAAGCAGCGATCAAATATCTTGTTATCCTCGAATGGCAGAGTTATAATAAAATTGTGTTCATTATAATATGCACATCAGTGTCTTCATATGTTTGTTGATATTATTGTTATTTGCATTAATAGGTGACATATTGATTATATCTTTAAATTAATGAGATACCTAGACACCGAATATTTAATATAGATTTTAAACAAAACTATCCAAATAAAATATTTTTGAAAAATCCAAAGTTGTCCTCAAAATACCTAGATTAAATAATTAAAACGCGAGGTTTTGAAAACGATTCCCATGATTTATTAAAATTCTCTAAAATATCAATATATTCAGTTACTCAAAGAAAAGTATTAGCACTGTTTGATGCATACATTTCAAAATGCAAAACCTCGGGTTTTGGACATCAGTTATTTAACGACGAACATTAGATTGAATTGAACTGTAAATATAATCTAAGCGAAAAAATCCGGTAGTGGCACATCTGAAATTAGGAATGTATATTCACAGTTATAGTTACCAGTATCCTGTGGTCAAGCTGAACTCCTGCCAAAATTCCAAATATAAGGAAATTCTAGTCAGTATAAGATGCGAATGTTTTGTATGTTCATCGGGTTGTTCATAGATAAGTTTTCCTATATACTCTCATTTTTTTCTTTATTATATTTTCTATCTTCAAGCTCGGTGCATTAATATGTTCAAGATGTTGATAATCTTTTTGTATACGTCATTGCAAACAAAACTTTTTACCGGTATAATAATATCGTTTATAAATATAATCTTGGCAGTAAGCTCAAGGATCCAGTATTGATCAAAACGCTTTAATATCATGCAACAAATGGTTGCATGTCGTGTAGTGAGGTAGTTTACCGCGAAAAGCTGATCCTCAAGTAGAGGTTCATTATTTTCTTGAATGACCGACTATCTGGGTCATTTTGCTCAAATTAGAAACAGCTGGTTACTATGTCGTACAAGAAATTGCATATTCACACGGAATCTGTAAATAATTAGGACATGCATTGAATATATTGGAATATCATATATAAACTTTCTCGAAAACAGAAACGTGATAGTATTTGAGGTGCTTGAAGGACTCTTCTGCTTTAATGGAACGTGTTACAAACACACACACAAATTAGGGCGATGTTCGCAGGATATTTGAGAAGAAAAGATATCTTTCAGTTTGAAATTAAAATTTGTCCTAAACATAAATAGCCTACGAACCTCATCTTAATCTCTCTAGTATATTTTTTTGCCATATGGTTTTGACACTTTGACCTGCCAATTGATAAGAACGGTTTATTAGGAAGGGTTTGGCTGTCTATATGATCTGAAATCTTTTTCTGCCGTACTTTCAAAAAAATGTTTTGTATCTTGGTTTATTCCAAACTCGACAAAAGAGAATATCTTTCGAATAGTCCAATTTTGGAAACAACCTATATTCAATTTGAATTCGCTTACGAAGTGCGAAATCCCAAGTTCTACCTTGCCTATGAAAATCTTCGATATGAACAACCTTGTGAGTATACGCTTTAGATAAATAGTACATGTATATTATTTGATTCGACCACACTGTATATAATGAATGCTTATATAGCAATTTTGCGTTCTGTGATCTTTTGTAAAATTTTTGTTCGAAGTAATAATGCTGCATTAACCTTTTTAGGCCATTGTCTTTAGATTTCATAACGATCGTACTTGCAAGACAGTTTAGACCAAATGCGAGGCTATACGAAAGTGAATGTGGCATTTTTACTTTCAGATTTAATATATTCATTTTATTTGTATATTGTATTATTTTATAGTCGTACAGAAACCTGACATATGCAATTTGTACATGATTCTTACATAACATTACTGTTTCAGTAATTATACTCGATGGACAAAAGATTGAAGAGTATTATATTTATTGCGATTTGCTATATTTGGTTTGGGCAATAAACAAATGTATACTGAACATGTGTTTTATTATGACAAAAGGTGACCATATTCAGTGGTGAATCAATTGCATCTCCGCAAATATTTTGAAAAGCCAACAATATATAGGTTAATAAGGTGATTGGTCAAACTGTAAAGGGTAGGACAAAAAGTTCATATTCATACACATATTGGTCCAGAAATGTTTCGTTGCCAATATAAGAGTGACACTCTCTAGTCCTCATTGTCTGTCAGAGCGATCCGTAGGACCTTTGCTCTTAGTTAAAGTCTTGTAAGTCAGTAGATCTGTCAGGTCTGGTTGGGCCAGATACCAAACAAAGTCAGGGAGAAAGAAGGGAAGAAGAAAGGAATGAAGGAGGGAGAGCAAAGAAAAAAGAAATGCGTCAATTTGAGGGGTGAATTGGCATTGCTAATTAGTATTCGGCAATTGTAAATTGATCCTAAAATTAATGTTGAGATTGTTGTTGAAGAAAAATTATAATTTTGGTTGGACCTAAAGTCGCACGATTTAATTTTGTTCACACTGCGAGTCGCGGCCTTGTGTGCTTGCGAACTTGCTAGACTGTGTAGTTTACTTACTCGCGCAACAAAGGGTTGCTATGACTATAACGTAGCTGCGCTTGTTGTTTGGTGTAATCCCTTAGGTAAGGGATGTCAAGGTCTCTGTGAAGGGTCTCGTTGGAGATATACCATGGGGCGTTAGTGATTGTAGGCAAGGTTCTGGTCTGCAAAACCTGCAGGCTACGCAAATGCGTTTTGGCGAGAAAACACCAAGCCGCACTTGCGTAAGTGATCGCTGGTCTAATAACCATCTTGTATAGCCGAAATTTGTTGTACAAACTTAATTTAGATGTTCTACATAGCATAGGATAGAGTTGCCAAAACGAGATTTGTAATTTAGTTTTTAAC